ATAAAGGATGTGATGTTCAGAACATGGTAACTACAGTAATTATCAAAGTGGGTAGTGATGCCCTCTGGGGGCATTTGGCCAGGGGTGTTTTTACACCACAGACAAGGTTAGAGAAGAAATTATAATTTAATTTAATTTTCTAATTATATTTTCCTTATTATATTAATTATTTGCTTATTTCCATTGCATGAATGAAAAAAAAAAACACATGTTTCTCAAATTATCTTCTTTTATGTTTCATAGTTTATGTTAGGTCATTGTAGCCTAAACATTTACAGTGGGTAAAATGTAAGTATTGAACACATCACCATTTTTCTCAGAAAATATATTTCTAAAGGTGCTGTTGACATTAAATTTTCTCCAGATGTCGGTAACAACCCAAGTAATCCATACATACAAAGAAAACAATACAAGTAAGTTCAGAAATTAAGTTCTGTGTAATCAAATGGAATGACCCAGGGGAAAAGAATTGAACACGCTTACTGAAATTTATTTAATACTTCGTACAAAAGCCTTTGTATTTTGAGTTTCCTTGGCTGTGTTTGGGATCATTGTCTTGCTGAAATGTCCGACATCTGGTGAAAATTTCATGTCAACAGCACCTTTAGAAATATATTTACTGAGAAAAATGGTGATGTGTTCAATACTTATTTTACCCGCTGTATGTGTAATAAATTTGTTGAATCAAATAAAATATTTCTTTCTAAAGCTACTATTTGTAATGTCTGCTTAATACTTTCTCATTTTACACAAAAAATAGCATTAAATAATCTTTTGGGGGTATTTTCACAGCTAAATGTAATTTGCGATTAATTAGATTAATTAATCCACACATCATGTAATTAATTAGATAAAAAATTTTAATTGACTGACAGCCCTCATATATATATATATATATATATATACACACACAAACAGTTACGTTTTCATAATGCTTACATATCATTATACCAAATAATACCAAAAAAAATAAACAAGTGGAGAATGCTCCTTTAAATCCTTACAGCAAACGGGTCGGCCTGCTCCCAGGAGATGGGCGCTCCCCACGTGTTGAGCCTCATCTTGTCGGGCAGTGACTCTGGGACAGCCAGCAGGATGAAGCAGATGTCGGCCAGAGCGATGAGAGTCGCCAGCAGCACCACCAGATTATCTCCGTAGCTGGCTGACAGGTACGCGCCGATGGCCGGGCTGGTGACCAGACTCGCTGCGAACGTCGCAGAAACCTGAAAGCGGATAGAAATATAACTCGTCTATACAGCTGGGTCAAGGACACTGAATCCAGGTCATGCAGAAGAACCTTGGAAATAGAAATATCCTAAAACAGCTTCACTGAGACTCTGAGATCTGTCCAAGATGCTTTTTATATTTAATAAAAGAGCCACTTACGAGTCCGTACGCCGTACTCCTCTCACGCACATCCGTAACGTCTGCGATGTACGCGAAGATTACAGAGAAGGTGACGGAAAACGTGCCGGACACTGATATCATGGCAAAGTACCACCTGAAAACAAGTGAAATATAAGATGAACTAAGATGTTGATTTAGAGCTCCCTAAATGTTTTCCAATGAATTTCCATAAACGTTTTGGTATTGGATTATTGGATAAAACATTTTAAAGCTTGAAGATTTCAATATCACCACCACTAGTCACACAAACAAAGCTGAATACAATGTTTTTTTTTTTTGTATTATATTTATATATAATACCATGGACTGAGTCTCATGAGCGGGATGGGCGCACACGTGAAGAACACGGTAACCAATAGAAACGATCGTCTGCCCCACACGTCTGACAGAGCGCCAATTAACGGAGCGCTCATAAACGACAGCAGACCCTGACGAACCAAAGCAGAAACATCACTGTGACAATAAAACCAACACAGACGAACTAACCAGTCCACTGCATTCACATCACATCACGTACCTTCACTCCCTGAATCAGGCCGTTTATTAAGAACGTGTGTTTGGGGAACGTTTCATGCAAAACCTACAAATGAAAAATGCACATTTCAATAGACAGAACAAATACAATACAATTTATTTCTCAAAATTAAAGGTGCACTGATGTGTATTTTTCCCTGGTTCTTATGTGCCTTCACAAATAACCAGAGACTAGAGATGGCGCTAACCAGCGTTATTTACTGTATATACTACTATATATTATTTATTTATTCATATTTAGCTTTAATTTTCATATTTTTAGTTTTCATTTCAATTTTATGTGCTTTTGTAATTGTGTGCTTTTGTAATTTTTTTAATGTTTCTATTTTGTTGTATTTTTTTTTTAGTTGTAATTTGTTTTATTTTAGTTTTAGTATTTTTAGTACTTCAACTCAAACTTATTTTATTTCATTTTTTCTATTTTTATCTCTATTGTAAGTTTTAATTTTTATTTGTTTTATATATATATATATATATATATATATATATATATATTTCTATTTAGCATCAATTTATTTTTATTTTTTATTTTTATTGATTTCATATGTCTTTTATTTTTTTTACTTTTCGTTTTAGTTTTTAACTGCCAAGGCAATTTAAGATTTGAAGTTAACTTTTTTTGAAGTTTTTCTCATTTTTGAAGCTAGTTTTAGAAGTAAGGTTTTCATCTAATATTTATATTTTATTTCAGCTTTATTTCAATTACCAAAACATATTTTTAATTGTTTAGTGTTCAGTAATAACACTAAAAGCCAGTGTGCTTTTGTCATTTCTATCATTATAAAAAATATTTCTAAAAGCTTTAATTTACTTTTTATTTCAATTAATTTTAGTACTTCAACTTCAACTTATTTTATTTCAATTAGCTGCAAAATCAAATTTTCAAATCTTTATTTTTTTAAGTTTAAGGTAAAGTTTTTTTTTTACTTCAGTTTTATTTCAATGACTGAAAATTATTTTTAATAGTTTAGTTTTAGTTAATATAACACTGCTAACTGATGCTTTTTTTTTTGAAGTGATATGCTTTTGTCATTTTTATCATTTTTTTTTAAATATTTCTATATAGATTTAATTCATTTTTTATTTCAGTTTAGGTTTTAGTAATTTTAGTACTTCAACTTCAACTTATTTCATTTCAGCTTGCTGCAAGGCTCATTTTGTATGAGTAAGTTTTTTATCTTATATTTATATTTTATTTATTTCGGCTTTATTTCAAATACCAAAAAAGGTTTTTAATAGTTTTAGTTAACAGGATTCTTACATTTTATTTTTTTCAATTTTAAAAGTTCAGTTCTTTATGAAATGTTCCAGAAATATTACCGAAACAAAACATTGTAAAAATGTTCACGAGTCTCAACCCTAGATTGAATAGTGGTCTTTAACCTTATACTGACAACTTCTGGTGCCAAAAATAAAATAATTGAAGCATTTATCCTGATAAGCGTGAACCACAAACATAACTGAGAATTAAAGTAACTCACGGTGAGCATCGGCATGGTCAGGAGACCCCAGGCGAAAAACTCCAGGAAGATGACCACAACAGCATGATAGACGCTCGGCTTCCCGATGCCCTGCCGGACCTGCAGCATCACACACATAAACAGCTCTTTATTAATAATGCTAATCATAATGCTGAATTATTGCTTTTCCAAAAGACGAAAGAGATTCAGCCGTTCACAATCTAAAGTCTCAAAGAATTCACTGTGATGCTTAATATGCTCTTGCAAGAACGTCTTATGAATGAAAAAGTGAGTTAATAATGTCATTTAATCTCGTTTATACATGAAGCAGGAAACACTGAGACGTTATTTGGCTGAAAACAGGAAACGTGTTTCTCAGCAGAGAGTTTGGGACAGAAGTTATGTAACGGACAACATTTAACTCTCACTGGAGTTCTCTGAATCTTTCATGGATCGGTGAAGCTTTTTAAGGCTCTATGAGCACTTCTTGTGTAATGTGATAGAAAAGTTTCAAATATACATCAATAATGTAAGCAAAACAAAAAAGTATTATGCGAGTTGCATGTATGAATTTTAAACAACATCATGTGCTGGTTTATCTATTTCCTCCTTTAATTATTTTAGTTGTTTTTGCATGACTGTGTTTAGAAAAAGAGTAGAAAATTGCATTTTGTAAAAATCACATTTCAAAATCTTTTTTTTTTTTGTACTTCCAAATTAATTCAATGTATTATTAAATACATATACATGCATTTATAATAAAAAATATAAAATACACATTATATATATATATATATATATATATATATATATATATCTGTGTGTGTGTGTGTATTTTATATATATATAGCTGAGCAAACAATCAAATTAGTAAATAAATATTTGTAAATCCATTAAATGTCTTACTGGAAGAATTAGTTCTGTCTTAAGATCAACAGGATGCGCAAATGACATCACAGACAGTAAGGAAAGAATGAATGAATGAATGAATGAATGAAGGTTCCGGCGTCTCCATGACAACAGACTGCGTGCGTGCGTCAGATATGTGTCGTGTTACGTAATAACCGACAGCGGCGCTTAATTATAGCATTAGCATCACCTCACCCTGCGAAAAGCCATCGACATCGCACATGACACCTATCGACACACTGTGAGAAATGATATAAAGACCTTGTTATTACGACAATTCAATCGCAGTTAAAAAAATTCCGAAATGATGTGATTTGTCAGCTAATGTTGGCCAAAGCGCTAAGAGCGCTCCTGCGCACGTATGTAAGACGATTAAAAAGACATTTTTCCTCACACGTGCGTATTATAACGCAATAAGCCATATAAATACACATTTTATTATTGTAAATGTTTAAATGTTTTACGGGAGTTACCGTAGCTAATATCAGAAAACAGAAAAACACAGGCGCTCCAATGAATGAATGAGTCTCAATGGCACACAGACTCGTGTGTGTTGTTCTCACCGGATTGTCATGCTTCATTATGATCCTCTTGACCAGCACAACTCGGCTGGTGTGTTTTGGCTCTTTCTCGCCCATCTTCTTCATCATCTCATGATCACAGCTCATGTGAGGAACGTAAAATCCGTCCTGCTGCGTGCATATCTGCGCTCCTTCCAGCTTTACCGCCGAGTACAGCCGTCCAACCGGCCAAAATAAAAAATCAGTTCAGCTCCGATCGGTTATTTGCATCCAGTAAGAAGCAGACTGTACGGATGAAATGGTGCCGCTGTGCCGTGTGTCACGTGATCGCAGTGCGCAGAACAGCGCCGCCGAGCGGTCAGACTGAGACACCGCGAGCAGCTTCAGATGGTGACAGAAAAAAAGGTCTGTTTTTATCAGATGATGCTTTCCCTTTTCAGAGGATGTTACCAAGGCTCAGACCGATTGTAAACTCTAATATTTCGAAATATCTGGATCTGTGCTTTTTGTAAGCAATCAGAAGAGACATTTGCACATTTGTTTTATGATTGCCCAATATCCAAGCAATTTTGGTCTGACCTTGGCTCCTATATATTCGATTCGGCCAATGTTACTTATTCTTTCAGTCTAAAAGACATTATTTTTTATTATATTGATGATAAAAATAGACCCCTAGAGTATATTGTTAACCTCTTTATTTTATATGGCAAATTCTTTATTCATAAACAAAAGTTTGCAAATAATATTCCATCCTATCCCCATTTTAAAACTGAATTAATATCACTTCTTAAATCTCTTAGTTATATAAATAACAAAAAATCCCAAAGATTTATAAAATATTATGAAGAAATGTTTAAAGAAAATGCATGTATTTAAAAGCTTTCCCGGTATATTCATGTTTGTATGTTATTGTTTCAATAGTGGTAATGTATGCATTCTTGTGTCTCCTTGTCTTGTCATCTTTTTCATTGTTTTTTTGTATAATATTTTTGTTTTCTCTCTCTTTGTTTTATTATATGTATTTGTAAGTAAATCCTTGACAATGTTCTTATGTTATTGAACATTAATTAAAAAAAAAATAATTTTTTCAAAAAAGGCTCAGACCAATAGATCACAATGGACCTTTTGTCTCCTTGTCTTGTCATCTTTTTCATTGTTTTTTTGTATAATATTTTTGTTTTCTCTCTCTTTGTTTTATTATATGTATTTGTAAGTAATTCCTTGACAATGTTCTTATGTTATTGAACATTAATTAAAAAAAAAAAAATTTTCAAAAAAGGCTCAGACCAATAGATCACAATGGACCTTTTTCACATTTCCGGGTTTCTCAGCAGCGGAAGTCGTCATAGTTGGGTTAACTTGAAGAGCAGTGAATGGGAGAGTACCACAAATATATTTTTTGCATTCCCATTTCCTCAAATAGCAAAAGAAAAACTCCACGATAGTGTTTTCATGACTTTCAATCAAAGGAAAAAAATTGAGAGAGACTGATAACGGCAGTCAGAAGAGAGAACGATGTCAAATGTACCATTCCTCCCGTAGACGCTGCATTAGAAACACCCTCACATTAGCCTTAACTGTTTTTTGTAATTTGATGCAAAGGTGACAATACAAAGAATAGTGTTATAAATGTACATCAATTTTTTTAAAAATACAAATATGAAAAACTTTCGAGGATTTACGATGCTGATGACCGTTAAACGCGTCATCACAGTCTTGTGAAAAGGGTCCATTATTACAGGTTACTATAAATAACTTTAGTAATTTATTTATTTATTTAAAGTCTGTTTTTTCACATATGAAGAGTTCAGAGTGCCGTTTGAAATTTTGTTCTAAAATGAGCATTTTTCTCAGGCTCCTGTGTGTAGGTTCAGTAATTTCACTTTAATGGCAATGATTCTTTTCATTGCCATTAGTGCAAGTGAAATAACTGAACATAAACATATGCTCATTTTAGAAAAACTAATTCAAGCAGCACTTAGAGGCTTTTGCATCTGAACTCTTCATATACAGTACTGGTCAAAGTTTGAAATAATTTACATTTTTAAATGTTTTTACAAGAAATTTTACCAAAAGCTGCAAAAAATACCGTAAAACAGTAATATTGTGAAATAATATTATATTTTTATGGGTATTCTATTTGCATATATATTTTAAAATGTAATTTATTCATGCAATGGCAAAGCTGAATTTTCAGCTTCATGATGATGCTTGAGAAATCATTCCATGTATTACAGAGCCCTGGATTGTTTGGCTGCTTAAAAGAGAAGAAAGGAAAAGATACTTCATTTGTGGTTCCTGCTAGTTAAATTGAGTTGATCTGGACAAGTATATAGAAACTGTAAGGTCCACGCACTTGGCCCAAGGAAGGTATCCAGTGGCGGATGAAGGTTACTTGCATGTTCGGTCTTTTCAGCGCGCAGAGTTATACAATTTAGATTTAACTCAAATCTGACTCCATTTTATCATGGATTTGCATTAACCCAGGTTCCAGACCTGGGTGGTTTACACCTCAATGGGAACAGAAGGTAATTTGCATGGAATGACCCTCTACAGTAATCAAAGTATCTCTTAACTCTTAGGATCTGTATTATCTTTTAGTCTACTTTTGTAAGATTAAGACCATTGTACCACTCACCCTGAGACTATTCAAATGAAACCAAACATGACTGTAAATCTTATTTGCATTTATATAGAACATTATACTATTGACCATTCTGAGTGAATCAAGTGGAGGGAGGAGATGAAAAGGAACTGATGCATATGTGAGAGAGGCATTTCCTGCACCTCCCCTCTGTGGGGCTTCTCCAAGATGCCCGTGTAAGTTTGTATTGTCTGTTTCTCAGGAGATCAAAGTATCAGAGTTTCGGAAATGATGCATATGTGAGAGACGTTTTCCTGCATTTTCTCTCAGTGAGATGTGGAAACAGATGTCTGTATGTTAATGCACTGTGTGTGTATTGTCTGTCTCAGAAGATCAAAGTGTCTGAGGTTCTGCAATTCTTACAAAACTATCCAAAGCTTTGTTAATCCTAAAGCAATGAAAACTGTATCTCTACGCTCTAAAAAATGCTGGGTTAAATATAACCCAGCGCTGGGTCAAAACAACCCAATAGGTTTGTCCCTTTTTAACCCAGCGCTGGGTTATATTTAACCCAGCATTCATCTTTGTGTCCTCTAAATTTGTAGGCTAAATGTATTACTTTTTTGTTAACCTAGGCTAGCAGATGGTTTTGCTCCACTAACCATAGTTTTACCATGGTATTTGTAATAAAACTGTGGTTATACAACTAGGCTACTTGTTATACTAACAAAGCCTCAAACCACATGAATAAAATGCTGGTAGCACAATCTGATAGGTAGCATTTTTCGCTATTGATTTGTGCTACCTATCTTTTTAATGGGAGGTAGCACAGTCTGAGCAGGTAGCACAAATCACCCCCACCCCCCTATTTTTTTAAAGAATTAAATAAGCACTTTTTAATTTTCATAAATCACAATGTACCCTATGTATAGTGCCACAATCAATAAATCAATAATTAAATAAACATTTTTCTTTCTTTCTTTTTTTATGGGCTGTTTATGCCTTTTTATTGAGATAAGACACATGAAAAAATACAATAGCACAATCTTCCATCAAGCACATGATTCAAATGATTCAGAATGCAGCAGCACGACTGGTCTTCAACGAGCCCAAAAGAGCCCATGTCTTTATCTCCTTGCACTGGCTACCGGTTGCGGCTCGCATCAAGTTCAAGACATTGATGCTTGCATATAGAAAAGCCACAGGCTCAGCACCCGCCTACATCCACTCACTATTACGAATCTACATCCCCTCCAGAAGTCTGAGATCCGCTAGTGAGTGACGCCTCGTGGTACCATCACAGAGAGGCTCAAAATCACTTTCCAGAACATTCTCGTTCACCGTTCCTGGCTGGTGGAATGATCTTCCCACCCCTATCTGGAATGCTGAATCCCTGCGACAAAAAAAAACCTTTGTCTTTCTCTTTATTTATTCCTTCCCTTTCTAGCTTGTACTTATTTGAACAAATGCCTGAAACTTGGTATTACGAGCACTTCCTGTAGAATCGCTTTATGTATTCCCCAATTGTAAGTCGCTTTGGATAAAAGCTTTTGCAAAATGACTAAATGTAAATGTACTATAGTAATTTACAGTAAATACTATAGTGCTTTTGAACCATACATACTGTATATATTATAGTATTTAAAACACTTTGTTAATGAATGTAACAGCATACTGTAGTATTAACTATAGTGAACTGATAAACTGTAATAAATACTGTAGTATACTTTAGTTTTTACTGCAGTAAACTGTAGTGTATTGTAGTATAATATAAAATATAAACTTAGTACAGTATTGGGTAAAGTAATTTGTTTATAGAATTACCACAACAAATTAATTCAAGTACTTTACTATAGTATGGTTCAAAAACACTATAGTATTTACTAATTTACTAATCGTCTAGTAAAAGGGAATTTACTGATAAACTAAATTATTTTTTAATGTTGGGAGAGATGACAGGGAATTACTGGCAGGAGAGAGGGGAGCAGGATCGGCAAAGAACCTCAAGACGGGAATCGAACTCGGGTCACCGTGAGTGCAGTTACGCTATATATCGACGACGCCCTAACCACCACGAGGCTATTGGCGCCGACAGTAATTGCATAAACATTTTCAATGCATTTATCTGGACATAGCCTAAGTCACTATTCTCTGCATTAGCGCTGGTTTGAACTTACTGTTTGAATTATTTTGCCTACTGGATCCTTGGACATGAAGATGCATATAAATAGCATGATTTTCTGTTTCTATTTGGCATGCTATTCATTCGCTGAAATTGACTTTGGCGTGCATATGATACGCACGTTTTTGACGGGCATATGACACGCAGTTTTCGTGCACTTATAATACGCATCTACTAGAATCAACAACTGGCAGACGATCTGAATGAGTTCTACTGCAGCTTTGAAAAAACACCCCACACCCGCCCTGAACACCTCTCCACACAACCATTCACACCATTCACACCTCCTGCAACCCCCCTCTCCCCCACACCTGCAATGCAGATCAGCAAAGACGAGGTGCGCCAGGTCTTCCGGAAGCAGAAAAGGAAAAAAGCACCAGGCCCAGACTGTGTTACACCAGTCTGTCTGAAATCCTGTGCTGATCAGCTGGCCCCCATCTTCACACAGATCTTCAACAGATCACTGGAGCTGTGCGAAGTCCCTTCATGCTTCAAACGCTCCACCATCATCCCCATCCCAAAGAAATCCAAAATTACAGGACTAAATGACTACAGGCCTGTGGCTCTA